GCATGTCTGCAGAGGACTGTCTTTATCATTAGTTGATGTAGGAGGGCTTAGCTCACTATGAGTGGTTCGATTCTTAGGTAGGTGGTCCTAAACTGTCAAGGCAGCTTAGTTAGCTGAGCTTAGTCAGCTCACTAAGCATGAGCCAGTGTAAGTCATCATGCAACATTTCTCCATGACTTCAGATGAACATTTTGTGTTGTGAATTGTTCATGCTTGAGTTCCTGTCCTAACTTCCCTTAATGTTTATTCACTTTGTATCCTCCCTGTAGCTCCCTCCCTCATCCCCTCCCAATCCCACCCTCTCTCCCCTTTCTCCACCCATGTCCCTCCCCAAGTCCACTGATTGGGGAGGTCCTACTCTCCTTCCTTCTGATCCTAGTCTATCAGGTCTCATCAGGAGTGGATGCATTGTCTTCCTCTGTGGCCTGGTAAGGCTGGTCCCCCACCTCAGGGGGAGGTGATCAAAGAGCAGGCCCTAGTAAAGTGCTTTTATGCTATTCATCTTAGTGCCATCTCTTCCTCTATGGAAGCTTTGTTCTCATAACCCAGGTATTAGTAGAAGGGCAGATGCCTTCCTGCAGAGAATTTATGCTCATGGTTTAGGCAAGGGACAAACCAGAGAGGCCTTTCAGTGTATGCTTTTACTTAATCTGGTTTAAACTCAAAATATTCAATATGACAAAGTGTCAAAGTTTGAGCATCGCAACCTGGGCCACTTCAAGCCAAATAACAAAAGCTACTACCAAGAGTGAAGCATGGGACTGGAGAGATGGCTTAGCAGTTAAGAGCACTGCTCTGCTCTTCCAGAGGTCCTGAGTTCATTTCCCAGCAACCACATGGTGGCTCACAGCCATCTATAATGTGATCTGATCTCTTCTTCTGGCATGCAGGTATACATGCAGATGGAGCACTCATACATAAAATAAGTAAATAAAAAATTAAAAGAAAAGAGAAAGTGTTTTTATTTAAAAGAAAAATAGTGAAGCATGGTCGATTTTAAATGATTGGCCCAACCCTTGAGACATATATTGAAAGTGAGACAATCAGTTCCTTACAATTGTTTGACCTTGAAAATGTTACACACATTTATTAAGTATTTGCGCTACATATATTTCATGTTGACATATTAAAAATAATTATCCTAGTGATTTTTTATACCATCCAAGACACACAGAAGATTTAACTGTTTCATGCTGAAAGGTGTTTGAATAGTCTACATGGTATCATATTGAAACAGGACTCAAACGCATAAATCTTGTGAGTAAATTGACTTAAAAAAAAGTATGTAGTTTAAGTATGAATACTCTTTATAATTATAGATATTGAAGAAGTAGAGGAAAAAGGTTATACTTGGGATGTGCTTTTAAAACTGTAAGCTTAAATACCTTCTCTGCTTTTATGCCCTTACGTAACTGAGGAAGCCCTCACTAAGTCTCCATTGAATGAGAGGAGGAGAAATTGCTTTCAAAGCACTGTTGGAAAATAGGATGCTAACCATAGACGAATCAAGATAAAGGCTGAATTCCAATCACTTTAGGGCACAGAAGTCTTTGTGTGGCATTACTTTATAAATAGTGGAAGTGTGTGTGCAGATTTCAGATGTTACATAAAAGGGGCAGGGAGTTGCTTTCACCAAACAAGACCTAGTTAGTTCAGGACCTTGAATATAATACATGTTCATTAGATTGACTTCTATTGAGTTTTTGAAAAATAAATTAAAAGGCAATCTAAGCATGTCATGTAACAATGAAAAGTTTAAAAATAGGCTATGTTAGCTACTTAGTAATTAAAATGAGCCAACTTTGATTGGTGTTGTTAGCCAGTTTTGAAATATCAACCTTCAAAGCCTTATAAACAGTGAAGTATCACAGCTTTGGCACTAATTGGGTCTTCTAAAGCTTTTAATAAGACTGAATGTCATTTACTTTATCAGTTAACAGATGACTAGATTATAAAGCTCCAAGACTTCCCAAAAGTTTGGCAGGATAGATCATCATTGGTAAAAATCAGCTGCAAAGCTTTTGGCTGAAAGTTTAGGGTTATTAGTGTAGGGGAACCTACAGCAGGAAGAACACAAATCCATTCTGGCTTCTACCAGTCCCTGTATGACATCAACCCTTCTTACCATTTGTTCTAGAAAGTGTGAAGGAGGAGGACTATAAGGACAGAAATAAGTGGCTGGACCTGCTTTCTAGCACCTTTAATTGCTCATTACCTGGCAGCGTCCATCAGGCCCATAGGCTCATCTTGCCCTTTTCTTTTTGCTGCTGCCTCTTGGAGAAAACTAGCAATCTGTTTCTTGAACAAATTCTCTTGATTTCTCTCTGACGTCATTGGCCTTTCTTTCTTTGTATTTTTTTGCCCTTCATATCTGCCTGGCCTCTAAATTTTGCAGCCGCCTAGGGTTTATGTTACTTTCTACTGGTGCATAACAAATTACCATAAACTTGGCGTTTTAAAATAACACCCATTTTACAATCTCAGTTTCTGTGGAGCAGACGTCTAGTCATAACTCAGCTGAATCCTCTTTTATGACTGCACTCAGGCTGTCATCTGCAACTGGGATGTTATCTGAGTAAGAGATTTATTTTTCACACTTTTTCAGGTTGCTGGAAGACTTTATTTCCTTAAGGCATGGGAAGGAAGGGGTCTTCTGTTGAGTGCAGTCTGGTGGTTTTGTGAAGTGGCAGCTAGTGGCCCTTAGTGTTTGTCCTTGCAGGTTCTCTGATGTGTTCCTTTGCAGAAGTTGATTAGCCAGTTGAAAATCATAGAGGGGTGTGAACACCAGAAGGTGAAGAGAGTGGGACACCTAGAAGTCCACTGTCTGTGGATAGTTCTCTGCATTTCATTTTTATTTTGTCACTCACTCGCTCATGTATCTCATGTTTTTAAAATTATAAACTCATGGGCTGGCACTTTGATCACCTCCCCCCTGAGGGGTGAGCAGCCTTGCCAGTCCACAGAGGAAGACAATGCAGTCAGTCCTGATGAGAGCTGGTAGATGAGGGTCAGATGGAAGGGGAGGAGGAACTCCTTTATCAGTGGACCTGGAGAGGGGCATGGGAGGAGAAGAGGGAGGGAGAGTTGGATTGGGAAGGGATGCGGGAGGGGGTTACAGCTGGGATACAAAGTGAGTAAATTGTAATTAAGAGGGAGCAGCCTTACCAGGCTACAGAAGATGACAATGCAGCCACTCCTGATGAGATCTGATAGACTAAGATCAGAAAGGAGAGGAGGACCTCCCCTATCTGTGGACTTGGGGAGGGGCATGCGTGAAGAAGGGGTTGGGAGGTTGGGATCGGAAGGGGAGGAGGGAGGAGCTTATGGGGGGATACAAAGTGAATAAAGTGTAATTAATAAAAATAAAAATAAAAAAGAGGAAAAAAATAAAATTTAAAAAATTATGCCTTCTAGACAGCTTATATTTCATGAATGCACAGCCCCAAATCAGTTTTTCTAATGACATGATTTTTCAGTACCTCAAATTGCCAACTTTCCTTTCAGTTGCTCACATCAAAGACATGTGTATCATCGCATACCTCACATTCTTTTATATGTCATATTTACTTATCAGAAAATTTTGTTCCACCTATTTCCAAACTATTTCTTCTTCATCAAAGTTCTCCCTACTTCATTCTCTGCAAAACTACATACTCTAGAGTCTTTCAGATGCCTTTTGTGGTAGACTCCTGTCATACATTCAATGCACATCCCATTTGTCTTTCTAAATGAGGATTAATCACCTTCGCCTGTGTCCACTTTCTTGATTATCTTCTTTAGGTGTGTAGATTTCATTATGTTTATCATATCTTGTAGGTCTATATAAGCGAGTATATACCAAGTTTGTCTTTCTCCTTCTGGGATACTTCACTCAGAATGACACTAAGACTCATAACCAAACCCTCGGCAGAGTGCAGGGAATCATATGAAAGAAGGGAAGTTAGTATGATATGGAAAGGATAGGAGCTCTACAAGGACCAAATATATCCGGGCACAGGGTCTTTTCTGAGACTGACACTCAACCAAGGACCATCTATGGATATAACCTAGAACTTCTGCTCGGATGTGGCCCGTGGTAGCTCAGTAACCAACTAGTTTTCCAAAGTAAGGGGAACACGGACTATTTCTAACAGGATCTCAAGGGGATGGCTGTTTGACCCCCCCCCCCCCCAGGGGAGGAGCAGTCTGTTAGGCCACAGAGGAGGACTTTGCAGCCAGCCCTGAAGATACCTGATAAAACAGGGTCAGATGAAAGGGGAGGAGGTCCTCCCCTATCAGTGGACTTGGAAAGGGGCAGGGAGGAGACCAGGGAGGGAGTGTGGGGTTGGGGAGGGAATGAGGGAGCGGGATACAGCTGGGACACAGAGTTAACAAAATGTAACCAAAAAGAAAAATAAAATTAAAAAAAAAACCCCAAAAAAACTACATACTCTAGTCTTTGTTCTTCTTGAAAATTTTTTTCATGCATTCCCCAAACTTGCTTGTTTGCTATACTTTGAGTAGATGATACACAGTTCCATGTATAGGCCCTTTCTGGCCATTTTGTATTTGCTGGAGGCCTATTTTCTTCAGATGAATTGCTAACTTGCACACTTTCTTTGGGAAAGGAGACACAAAAGAATTCTTTGCTTTCCCTGCCGTTGTTGTTTATTCCAAATAGTGCTCATAAAGCTCAGCTCTACTCTTTTTCATCATGACACATACCATCTTACAACACTGACATTGTGTGAGCTCTTGTTTAAGATCCCCATTCCCTGCAAGAATGTGGTTATCACTTATGGAGGTTGTGTACAGATAAGAGTAATCCCAACTGGGGTTGAGAAAAGTTTACAGTTTTTTTCTTACAGTTTCTTTCTTTCTTTAATTACATGTCCTTTGTATGCAAACATTTGGTTCTGATGGAATAGTCTGTGATGTTTTCTGGGTAACACAACATACTCATCTGTCCTCGTTTTCAGTTTCTCTGAAAACTCATATTGCTTTTTCTACTGTGTTTGTAGGAAGCTGGGTCAGAACTTTTGAGGAGATTGTCTGCACTCGAAGGACTCTGCAGGTAATGAGAAAATAAGGAGAGTGGGTTACAGTGCACACACACACACACACACACACACATATTGTCTCTATCATTCACACTCACACATTCCTTTTTTATGGGGTGGTGGTGGAAGGAATTAAAAGGTCTGATAAGGGAGTTTGTTAAAAAAATAGAGTTCACAAGGGTACCATATTTTAAATGTTTGTACTTAACGACACTATTTATGTTAATAGGATTCAGTCTAATGATGGGAAGAATAAGAGGTCAATACAAGTTAATTTGACAAAATATTTCCAAAATAAAACATTATCAGGAGAAAAAGCTTTCTGTGATATTTAACTTCATAGTGTTAACCACACCAACAGTAGACTGCAGAAGAAAATATATGTACTGTCAGCTAACATACACAAGAGAGAAGCACGTGAAAATAGTATCTAATTAGAAAAAAAAATCTTTTTGGCCAGCTGAGACCACCAAGTATTTTAAAATGTCATTTATCATTTTAGTGTTAAGAGCGCCCCCTGGTGTGACTGTATAATCATATGTTTATGGAAATTTTACATTTTTATTTTATTTTTTAAAGAATCTCCCTTTACTATCAGATGGCGATGGGCCTTCTTTTCATGCTAGCTTGAACAGCATGTGTATTGTGTGTAGCTTTCCACTGAAATGCAGTAGAAAGGTTTTTCTATCCTTGCTCATATCTAGGATCAGTATGAAAGCAGAATATGGGAATATGTGATTTCTAAAGTTCTTTCTCTTATGCTAATGTATCACTTAGTAATTGTGCAGTTATACATACTAATGTAATTGTGACAGTATCTATGATTTTTGATGTTAACCTTGTTGTGGTAAATTGCTGTAAACAATTCATTCTTGGTAAATTCATGGCATTTTGATAATTAAACAAGAAAACTGGATTATGTTTGTCCATCATGTGAGAAATGACACAAATCTTGAGACCTTCTAGAAGCATGCTCTTCCTCTATAGCTACTGACCTTGAAACGTAAATACTCCTCATCCTGTACCATGTTCAGGGATCTTAGCTTTCCCCTGCCACCCAGTAAGAATGTCTTGCCAAATATTCCCAGTCATGATCAGCAGAGTACTGATTTATAACTGCTAGTTTTCCTTGTATTTAGAAGTAATTAAATCATCCTTGTGAAGTGAAATTGCATGTAATATTTTAAAACACACATCTATAGATTTCTCAGTGGTAATTATTTTCTCCTATTCTCCCTTTCTAGACTAAATGTTACTGATTGTTCCTTACAAGCTTTGTTTGTGTCATCACTGTGACAGTCGCAGGGCTACTGTATTAAGATGGCTTTGTTTTTGTCTTCTTTTGTAGATTCCCCTTTCACCATCAACCAGGTATGTACTTAGAGTAGCCCCCCCCCCTTTTTTTTTGTAACTGTGTTCCAATCTTACTTTTCACATTTACAATAGAAAAATAGAAATTGTGGTGTTTGGGCAGACCAGTGACTCATATTTTAAGGAAGAATGCAAAATACATGTCACCGGGCATTGTTAATATATACTTTATAGTTCAGGCTCACTCTATGTCAGACTTCGGCAGAGTGAGCATTTCTTTATATAAGACATCTCTGTAGATACTATTAGAGAACTCCCAAATGTGGAAGTCACGATCCTGATCAACCATTCCTAATTATGTAATGGGTATACAACCACATTAATGATTGCACACATTCATAACTACAACTGTTGATGGTATTATCATAAGGACTAACAGTCACATAATACATGCACATAGATGAAACCAGGATTTTGGAGACACTGAGGGGCTCTTCTGAGATGTGTGCATTTACAGGGAAACCAGAATTACTTTGGGAACTTAATTCTTCAGGGAAACTGTCTCAAACTAGGGTTAGCATTAAATGTTGCACTATTATACATAATAGAAAAGGAGGATATAGGATGTACATATTTTAAAATGCTGCTTGTTTCTTTCTTATTCAGCATATCTTTTAATTTTTCTAAACTTGTTCTTATGCACTTTGCCATTTTCTTTATGTAACCACGTATTTGTATTGTTTTTGTGAAGCTCCCTTTGTGCTTCTTATAGGTATTTTTCTGATTTTTTTATTAGCAGATTTTTCTCTTACATTGTTATAGTGGCCAAAATGATGTTTATTGTCTCATGAATAATAGTTTTGAAGGTTACTAAGTAGCTCACCATGGAGATTCCATGTGAACAACCCTGTTCTTTGTTTAACAGATCCTAGTGCTGCCTATTTTCCATTTGTCCTTTATATTTGCTCTAGGAAGCAGCTCTTCCATGATAGTTCAAAAGCACATTGTTTTGATTGTTTTCTGTGCTCTGGACAGTCTTATGGTTTGATATAATTATACTATAATTATATTATACAAATATAATACAAATATAATTATATTTACAAATATAATACAAATATAAGTATATTATATTTGTAAATTTGCTTTTGTTTCTTGTACCTGGGTGTTCACATTTATTGTTGTTTTTTTAAAACTTTTATTAATTACACTTTATTCACTTTGTGTTCCCCATAAACCCCTCTCTTCTCCCCTCTTAGTCTCACCTTCCCTCCTCCTTCTTCATGCATGGCTTTCCCCAAGTCCACTGATAGGGGAGGTCCCCCTCTCCTTCCTTCTGATCTTAGTCTATCAGATCTCATCAGGAGTGGCTGCATTGTCATCTTCTGTGGCCTGGCAAGGCTGCTCCTTACTCAGGGGGAGGTGATCAAAGAGGAGGCCAATCAGATTATGTCAGAGGCAGTCCCTTTTCCCATAACTATGGAACCCACTTGGACACTGAACTGCCATGGGCTACATCTGTGCAGGGGGTCTAGGTTATCTCCATGCATGGTACTTGGTTGGAGTATGAATCTCTGGAAAGACCCCTGTGTTCAAATTTTCTGGTTCTGTTGCTCTCCTTGTGGAGTTCCTGTCCTCTCCAGATCTTACTATTTCCCACTTCTTTCATAAGATTCCATGTACTCTGCCCAACAGTTGGCCATAAGTCTCAGCATCTGCTTTGATAGTCTGCAGGGTAGAGCCTTTCAGAGGCCCTCTGTGGCAGGTTCCTAACTTGTTTCCTCTTTTCTTCTACTTCTGATGTCTATCCTCTTTGCCTTTCTGGATAGGAATTGAGCATTTTAGTCAAAGTCCTCTCTCTTGATCAGTTTCTTTAGATGTACAGAGTTTAGTAGGTATATCCTATATTACATGTTTTTAATCATTGCCTATACCAAGATCTACCACTAGAATCCATTTAGGAGCATATAACCAAAGGACTAAAATCTACACAATAAAAAGATTGCTGCGTATCTGAGTTTATTGTGTGTTTACATTAGGCAAGTTGCAGAAGACATACATGCATATCAGATAATCAGTAAAGAAAATGTAGTGTATGTAGGTTTTTGGCTGCTTTTTGGAGACTGCTTGCTTTTGTGTTGGAGCTGTTTTGTCTTTTGGGACCTGACTAGATGAACAGGATATAAGTAGCTATGCATGTTCTTATGCGCACTAGGATAAGGTATCACGTGACTCAGCATGCATCAAGCTCATGAAAAACAGTTTAACTCTCATGTTGAATCAGTGAGTGAATGAAAAAGAATCAGAGCTATGCTAATTTTTTATCCTCATTTCTGCCCAAGAGATATGCAGGCTCCCTTTGTTCCATGCTCAAGTGCACCTGGTTAATTAGCTTTTTAATTTTGAACTTGTTTAATAGTTGTGAAATCAGTCTTTACATTTCCAAATCCTCTGGTACTGTTTTAGTTTATACTTTTATGCTAGACAATTAGAACAGAGTCTCTTCATTGGACTCCCTGACTCTAGTTTTACCCCATACCAATAAATTGTACCTACTGGAACATGGCTAATTTCCCTAAAGTATATAATTAATAACCATTTAAAATGAGTCAGTGTCTTTTGTCTTTGTTCCTGCTTACTTTGATTCTAGCTTAACTCATTACCATTGTCTCTACTCTTGAACTTTGTGTTGGGTCTTACTGAAACCTTTGCAAATGATAGAATGCTTCCCTTCTCATCTTCCCTATGCCTTCATGTAGCCAATGCCCTTCTGTACCACTCTTATTTAGTGAGTCCTTTTCATGCTCACCTTTACCTTCTAGGACACTTTTCCAGACAAAAATTGTACAACACATAATGCATCTCTTCAGTAGCCAACTCTAAAGACCCTTTATTTGCGATTTCATTTTACAGAGCGTGCTAGCTGGTTTTATGTTGACTTGACACAGCCAGAGTCACTGGACAAAAGGGAACTGCAGTTGAGAAAATGCCCCCATGAGACCTGGCTGTAGGCAGGCTTGTAAGGCCTTTTTTTAAATTACTGATTGATATGGAGGGGACCGGCTCATTGTGGATGGGGCCATCCCTGGTCAGGGAGTCCTGGGTCTTATAAGAAAGCAGGATGGGCAAGCCACAAGGATTAAGCCAGTAAGTGGGCTCTCTTCCATGGCATCTGCTCAGCTCTGTCTTCAGGTTCCTGCTCTGTTTGAGTTCCTGTCCTGACATACTTTAATGATGAGCAGTGATATGGAAGGGCAAACCAAATAAAGTCTCTTCTCCCCAGCTTGTTTTTTGGTCATGCTGTTTTATCACAGCCTTAGTAACTCTTAAGTCGGACAGAAAGTGGGACCAGGACAGTGGTTGTATTTCTGTGACAGACCTGACCATGTGTTTGGGGAGGGTTTTGGAATGACTTTGTAATTTTGGGTGATGCTGTTCTTGGGAGTTTCGAAGATGAGAATGTGGAGAACAAATGCAGACATTGGAGGACTGGCTTGTTAGGTTTTAAAAGGGTGTTTGAGAGTTTCTTAATGACTCTTTCAGAGCCATTTACTATTTTGAATTAGTAATCTTCTATTCTGGTTAGTTGGGGATGAAGAATCAACTGTGATTAACAAGATACCTGAACCACCAAAGTGAACCCTTTGTTTTTCTGAGACTATTGGGGCTGGTCAGCTAGTTCTGAGAGACTGATGATGAATAAGAAGAAACCAGCAGTCAATGAGGTTAGTCATTTGGAAGTCCTTCCTCAGAGTCAACAGTGCAGGTTGTGTTTCAGAGGCCACCAAGGTTGCACCTTGTTCTGGGAGCAGAACTTAGTATAAGAGTCACCCAGGTGGTGCTGGGTTTAAAGGCATGAAGTGGCCTTGGAGAGCAACTGAGGTTTGGCTTTCTTTGACAAGGTTGGAGTCCCTGAAGACAAACAGGGAGGTGCTAACGGTGAAAGTGTAGCCACATTTCAACCAGAGACTCCAGCATTTTTGGACATGTCAGTACATCTCCAAATGGGATGAATGACAAGGACAGCAACAGGTGCGAGGTGAAGCTGGCCTGAGCCTTGGAGACAAACAGTATTTGTGATGCAGAGGGAAGAGCCATAGAAGTGACCCAAGCACTTTGGAGGAACCCAGAAGATCATGAGTGAATCCCAGATGTTTGAGTTATTTATACTGTTGTGAATGGGGCTACCCATGGGCAGATGGGTTCTATAAGAAAACAGGCAGAGCAAGCCATGAATAGCAAGCCAGGAAGCAAGCAGTCTTCCATGGCTTCAACAGAGGCTCCTGTCTCCTGCACTATTCTTACCGTGGCTTCCTTTAATGATACAGTGGTATGGAAGTGGAAGCCAAATGAACCTTTTTCTCTCCAACTTGCTTTTGGTTATGGTGTTTTATCATAGCTATAGTAACCCTAACTAGGATACAAAGTGTAACTTGAAAGGTAAATGATGTTATATCACCAATTGAATAGCAGTGCTGGGAATAATACAGAAAGTGTTAAGGAAAAACAGTATTTGTGAAGTCCATGAAAAAAATTTAATAAAAAAGGGAGGAGGTCTTATGTTAGGATCCCATAAAACCCGCTAATTTGTTCAGGATTGAAGCTGGTAGTTTGAAAGGCCTACTCATGCTAACTACTACAACAGGAGGCCAATTTTACCCTGCTTCATTTATATCAACTCTTTCAACAGCATGTAGCCTTTGGTGCTGTATGCAACACACACTCATTTGTTCATTTATTACTATGAGAGACAGTCTATCATTGCCTTATCTTTATTCCTTCCTCTTATTCTTTCTTCAATCCTGGAAATTGTGTGTGTTGATATCTGTCTTATATCTGTGAGGAAAAGAAAGACCAGGGTTTGTTCAGATTTGAACCCTGACATTCTTGAACTTGTAGGCTAAAACCAGTAAGTGTTTTTTCTTTTATTATTGTTATTTTTTAAATTTTAATCACAGGCCATTCACTTGTATCGCAGCCGTAGCCTCCTCCCTCTTTCTTTTCCAATCTCCTCATCTCCTCTCTGCCCCTTCCAAGTCCACTGATAGGGGGTGCTTTTT